AGCTTAAGAGGAGACCCTGCTACACATGCAAATTAAAACTGGTTGGATCTTTTTATGGTGTGATGGGTACTTTGCATGTGTAACTGGTCTCAAGTTAATTGTGCAAGACCTGTAATATGTAGAGGGGGCCTTTGTTACACTACCTCCATAAAAGAATGCATATGTGTTGTGTATTATGCACAGCTTTAGGCCAGCTAGTCTATGCTGCTCAAGAGCGAGCATGATTTCCCCTCATGTATTTAGGAGTACCTCTTTTTTTCTAGATTCTGGACAGCTGGAACAGCAACTAGTGGAAGCCAGTTCTGCACGACGAGAATTAGATGATGCTTCCAGGCAAATTAAGGCTTTTGAGAAACAAATCAGAGGCCTGAAGCAAGAGAGAGAGGACCTTAATAAGGTAAAAAGTGTTATATTGGTAACTTTATTATATTTCATTTTAAATGAATGTTCCCTTAACATCTTAATTTCACAGTAAAATTGATTAGGTGATGATGCAAATGTATTACTCTTTCCGAATTCTGATTCCTTTTTTGACGCAAGGAGATCATTTTAAACATTACGTGTACTATCACATTGGGTGGTCCTTGCCGATTGATTCCAGACATTAAACAGATCCATGAAATGTTCTCCATGTTCGCTGCACATAAAGCCTTTCTGGGCCTCAGATTAAAATGATAATTATAGCAGTTAGTAGGCAAAGGATAGAAGAACTGCCCCAGAGTACTAATTTAATCAGTCTGGTGAAAGTCATGCTCTGAACAGTCTGATGATGGTTGCTTTGTGTTGCATGAGTATTTCCAGCAGAGGGAGATAAAAGATCTTCAAATTGAAAGATTTAAGAAATAACTTGGGGAACATACAAATAGTCTCACCAGAATTATTTCTCTTCTTTTTTGAATATCTCTACATAGCACAATGCAATGCCATGAAAAATCCAAGCTAAGGCTAAACTAGCAAGTTCAGGTACCCCAAAGTATAGCTACATTTGTTTGATGCTATAACAGGACTAATGATCCTAGGCCAAACCCTGTATGTTATAATTATAACATAGTTATACTGTTTCAAGTACCTGAGCTAACCCAGGTATTTCTGCACATCATTTTCCTGTTCACAACATCCTTTTGTTCTCCCACCTCTGCTCAGGAGGTTGTAACACTTCTACTTTTATGCAAACCTCATTTCCGTATGCTACTTATTATTTTGAGCTCTACCCTGGGCTATAACTTAAACCAACTGGGAAACAGAAGCAGGTGCAAAGTATAGGTGCATCTGCTTGCTGAATGGGGTGTTGCATCATGAATGCATTAAACCATTAGCATCCAATACTTTGGATACTAATTTGCTAGGTAAAATTTAAGGTATTGGCTTTGATCTGTAAACGATCTATTACTGCCTTGGGATTTATGTAGCCACTTGAGAGACCATCCATCTATCTTTTCATGGCAGCACTGGGCTCTAAGGGCATCTTTACATGTGCTCTCGGGGTGGGGGGAGAAGGGGCACTTTAATTAGAGTGGCTCTTGGGATAATTACAGCACATCAGAGCAGACCTCCTACACATCTACAGGCACCCTTAGTCTTCTTTAAGTGCTAGATCATTTGGAAACTATTGTTGGACTTGCGTAGCCAGCAAGATTACAAAGTGGGCTTTCCGTCTTCCCTGTACTACATGCGTGTTTAGGCTCTCTATGAATATATATGTAATTTGTGCTATTGGTTCTTGATGATAGTGTAGCTATGGGATACAGGAGTTATAACTGTAGAAGATTACCAAAGTCTTTGAAGACGGAGATTTTTACAAAATATTTTTCCATTCACTTATCACTTGAAGTTTTTATTTGTCAGATATAATATTTACTGATGCAAGTTTTTCTTTACTTGGTTTAAATCATTCAGGAAAAGTGCAACAATAATACTTTGAATTAAAATATCATCATTGTTTTGTTATATGAGATGGTCTCAAAAGTATTGATACTCCATGCACTGAATCTATGTAGTGGGCCAAATTCAAGATTCAGTTGGCTGCATTTGTTTTTAATCTGGCCTCTCACCTTCATAGATAATTTTCACAGTTCATTGCAAGCACTTAGCCTGTCATATATGGGTGTTTTTTTTAGGATGTAAATATTTAGTTTCTTTTTACTTAGAACCTCATGCCCTTGTCCAAAGGTAGGGCAGAATTTAGCCCTGTAGCTCTATGTATGTTTATAACCTTTCCATTTTTTTAATCTGTAGGAACTGACAGAGTCTAGTGAGAGACTAAAATCCCAAGCCAAAGAGCTGAAAGATGCACATAGCCAGCGGAAACTGGCTATGCAGGAGTTCTCAGAGATGAATGAGCGGCTGACAGACTTGCACTCCCAAAAACAGAAACTTACCCGCCAGCTCCGAGATAAGGAGGAAGAGATGGAAGTGGTGATGCAAAAGGTGGAAAATTTAAGGCAGGAGTTGCGCAGAACAGAAAGAATAAAAAAAGAAGTAAGTAGTCCAAAGGAGTTTTAAAAAGTCCTTGAGGAGTAATGATATGTGAAGGGCTTTTCAGGCAAGCAAAATAATGCTTATTTCACTACCTTTATTTAAATAAAATTATATGAGTCTATGAATCTTTAGAGTGATATTCATTTGATTATAGTATTGTATGCAAAATTTAGTTTCTCAAGAATTCAAAAATTTCAGCCTAATAATTGGGCATTCAGCCCTCACACTAAAAGAAATCTCAGTGTGTTTGGAAGAAGTATAATATCCGAATCTGGCTATTGTTAACAATTATTTTTGTAGCTGGAAGTTCAAACTGAAGCTGCAGCTGCTGAGGCATCTAAGGACAGGAAATTGCGTGAGCGAAGTGAGCAGTACTGTAAGCAGCTGGAGAGTGAACTAGAAGGACTAAAGGTTAGTCTGCTTTGATTTTGACACCTTTAAACTTAACAGCCTGCTAGGATTTGAGCTGTAAAATTATTTTCAGGCGTGGGACAAAAGGGCATTATGAATTTGTCACTTCACCTTGCTCTGTACTGAATGCAAATGCAAGTCGTATCATGCTGTCACTATGAAAGTCTGTGTAAGAAACAAAGTTCCAGCAAGCACAAACTTTTGACCAGTATCCTATGTGTACATTAAAAGGTGGCTATAGTCAGCGAAGCGTCACTGTAAGGAATCCTTAGTTTTTCTGTATTTATTACCAGGCATTATCTTCTGTTACTAATTGCTAACACTACAAGTCAAAAAAGGTCTTTTATAATTTGTTAATGTATTTCAGACAATATCTATGCAGACATGTTGGGTATTAATTTGTTGTAATGGTATATTTCAGTTATGAGCCTAACGTAATTATTTTAAGGGAAAAATTATAATGTACTGCATATCTTAGGTAAGTATGTCTAGCAAGGCCGCAATCTGATAAACACTTAAGTATGAGACTAACTTTGCACAAATGAATAGTCCTATTAATTTTAGTGTCGTTATTTATATAAATAAATGCTTTCTGAATCAGGAATTTAACCAGTTCAAACTAAAACTCTTATCCCATTGTGTGGCATTATATAATAGGCTTTGTGGAGGTCCAAAAAGATGATCAGAAAAAAAATAGGTTTCCTGGTTTCTGTATAAGTGTTTGCATAAGGCAAAATCTTGTTTCCACTTAACTCATTAGGATAATTAGTGGATGATTTTATTAAGAAAGATGATAGATTCTTAATCACCTGAAGTCTCTAAGTCAAGATAGGATGCCTTTCTAAAAGTTATGGCCTTCAAACAGGAAGTACAAAGTGAAATCCCATGAACTTTGTTTTGCAGAAGGTCAGACTAGACCATTCCCTTCTGGGCTTAAAATCTATGGTTAACAGTTTTGTTAATCAGTGTCATTGGGATCCTTGCCAACATTAAGAGGCAGGGTGGCAGATTGGTTAAGACGTCTTGCTACAGCTCAAGCTCAGGCTCTGTGGAGGGTATGGCTGGGCTCAAGCTCTGCAGAAGTGATGGCTAGCACAGTACAGCTCTGTGCCATCATCACCCAAACCAGTTTGGACCTTCTTGCAGACTGGATCCAGCCTGCAGACCATAGGTTGCTGATCCCTGCTTTAGAAGATTTGATTTTTCCTTAAACCAGATGTCATAAGACTACAACTGTTGCAAATTCAGCCTGCTCTCAGAAAACAAAGCAGTCTTCCTTCTGGTTCTTATGTCTCCAGCAGCCATGAAGTCTGGCATCAGAGCTAAGATGGCTGTAGTGGTTGTTACTTGAATATAGGATGTAGTTTATTCTTTAACAGCTCTACAGGTTCTGAATTTCTGACAGTGGCAAAAAATTGTCAGTGTCAGTAAATGAAGAAGAAAATGATCTGGGTGGTATGTAGGGGGGGATACATGTAGAAATGGATTCCCATTTTTAAACACAGTCTGTTCATAACCAAACTTGAATTAATGTTATATATGCTCAAAATTTAAGCATTGTTTTTCAACAGGCAAATGTAACTTCTTTTTAGGAGGCAGGGAAGGGTGGCACATTATAGACTAACTTGTTCAGAAAGGCATGAACCTATCAATTCCAGAAAGAAAAAAAAGCCTTGTGCAGAACATTCAGCCTCTCTGGATTTTTCATCACTGACCTCAGAATAGCTGTTCTTAAACACCACAACTTTAAAAAATAACTTGAACCTGAAACTGTGGAACAAGAAATCATCCTTGAATCATTTGAATCGTATTATGTAGACTAGTTTTTATAATCCCTATGTTCTTCAGTAAGTTAACAGTTTTGTTCATCCCCTTTACCATATAGTTCATTGGGCTGGGCCCCAGCAGAATCAACAGCATTTCAAGTCATGGTGACTCCACAGCTCAGCATTGCGCAGTATATGTGTCTACTCCAGAAAGAATCATAGAAAATAGAGCTGGAAGGGACTTTGAAGGGTCCTGTAGTTTATCCCCCTGTACCAGGTCAAGACAAATTATATCTAAACCATTCCTGAAAGCTGTTTCTCTAATCTGATCTCAAAAACCTCCAGTGATGGAGATCCTACTACCTTTCTAGGTAATCTGTTCCATTGCTTCACTATTTTTACAGCTAAAGCTTTTTAATGTCTAATTCTCCCTTGCTGTACTTTAAGCCCATTCCTTTTTGTCCTGCCCCCAGTGGATATAAACAACTGTTTATAACATCCTTCTTTTTAATGAACTTTCACGTATTTTAAGACTATTATTAGGTCTCTCTTCAGTCTTCTCTTCTGTAGACTAAAACAACTCCATTTCTTTCCATCTTTATTCCTAGTTGTGTATTCTAGATCTCACATCATTTTTATTGCTCTTCTCTGGACACTGCAAAGATTCACAACTTTCTTGAAGGAAATGCAAAAGCTGAGTGGAATGGAAAAATTATCTCATATTTCTGACACATGACACTCCTGTTTATATATCTCATTGCAACAATATGATGATATTGTTGTCTCATGCTTAGTTTGTCATTGACAATAACCTTCAGACACTTTGCTGGAAAACTCCTGCCTTTCCGGTTATACCTCTTTTAGTATTTGTGCAGTTGATTAGTCCTACCTTAGTGTACTTGTCCTGATTAAATTTCACCTATTTCAGGCCATTTCTCCAGTTTGTCAAGATTGTTTTGAATTCTAATCCTGTTTCCCAAAGTGCTTGCAACACTTTCCAGCTCAGTATTGTATACACATTAAATAAGTGTGTTCTCTATTCTATCATCCAAACCATTAAGGAAAGTATAGAATAGTATCAAACATAGGACAAACCCCTGGGGAACCTAGTTGATATAACCTTCTAGTTTGATAGTGAGTCATAACTAACTGCTGTTTAAGTACTTTTTCTAATGGTTTGTCTATACATATTACAATAGATTCATCCGGACCACCTTTTCTTAGCTTGCTTATGAAGCTATTGTGAAAGTGAATGTCAAAAGGCTGGTTAAACTCCAGATATATCACATCTGTTGCTTCTCCTCTATCCACCAGGCCTGTTCCCTTTCATAGAAGGAAATTTAATAGTTTTGATATGACTTGTTCTTCACAAATCCACAGTGATTTTTATCTTTTAGGTATTTACAAATGGCTTGTTCATTTTTTATAAGTATCTTTCTGGGAATTGAAGACTGGCTGGTCGGTAACCCCTTGGGTCTTCCTTTTTCCCCTTGTTAAAGATAGATGCCTTTTCTAGTCTTCTGGATCATGTATTCTCCACTAACAGCCCCAAGATTTCTTCAGTCAGTTACCCAAGAACCTTAGAATAAATTACATCAAGCCCAGCTGACAAGATTTCATGTAATTTGTCCAAATAGGGCAGAATCTTATTTTACTAGTGTATGTTTATAATCAAAATGCAGCTTGCAACCAACTCTGAGTTACCTGACTGAAATGTAGGAGCAATTCTGTTGTCCACTCTGAGTGCATATGTGCCCCCATTATAGGAATAGAAGTGCTCTCTGGAGATGCGCAGATATCATATAACACAACACTTACTTTCTTCTACTTCTGTACAAACCGTGATGTTTATAAAGCAGTACTCCAGTGATGTGATTTATCCTGCCAAATCTCTGCTAGGACAATTCAGTCTTAAATTTAATGATACACAGAGATGTTCAGCATCTCCTATATATTTCCCATTATTCTTGCATTGTATTGTTATTATATTGCCAGTATATTTCTATAGAAATTTTAGTCTTTCAGTTCCTCCTTATTGCAGTCGGCTTAAATGCTAATACCTAGTGCTGACTTTTTTCAGTAAAAATGTAAAACCCCTTTTCTTAATGCTGCTGAATGTTTTTCAATATGTTCAAGCTGGAATTTCAAAGCATGCCTATTTTCCCAGGTTTTTGGGGGGACTGGAAAAAGGGATGGGAGAATTTGTGAACAAGAAAGTGTGGTGGGAAAACAGGAGGCTTTGGACTTTGATGTCATTTGAAAGTTTTATGAGCATATTTTTTAAATTTGTGTGTGTGTTCCTAAACCTTCACTGATAGGAGCACTCTAGACAAACTTAAAATAAATTATATATTTTTTAAATATTTGACATGTTGAAAATTACATTTCCAGCCCCCTGCCTGTTTTCCCCTACCTGAGCCATGACAGGTTATTTAATAAAGAAAAAATAATAGAAAAATTATGGCCAAAGCATATGCCTGTTGAGTTTAAATATATTTTGCTTCCTTATAGAGTTTCTTTAACAAACATTTTATAGGTAAAAAAGCTTTGTATCAAAAACATAGATAGTTAACCATACTCACCCAATAAAAGCCTTGATTTTGTAACTGCAAAATACTCTTATCTATGGAAGGTGGAAGCTGTGTATCCTGAAATAAAAACTAGCAAAAAATAGCAGTATCACTAAGGGCTAATCTCACAGAAGCCAAGCAGAAAGTCTTCCAAGATTAACTTTTAACAATGTGTTCAGCTGTGATAAAGGAGAAAATATGATTACATTGAGTGGCCATGTTTGAATCTTCACAGTTTTTGTCGATGCATCTACAAAGCATTACTGCAGTCTCTTGTGATGGTGTTCTATATGCATACTGATGTTCAAAATGTGATACTGTCTTTGCAGTTGTAAACAGTGCCTCCATGTTATAATTATATCTAAATACACTTAGTAACATTATTAATCATATCATCTTTGTGAGGTAGACTAGTATTGTTTTCTTTATTTAAGCTAAAGAAACTTGTTCAAATTTTCAAACATGCCCTTTAACCATCTGTGTGCAAATAAGTATATTGCATCCTTTTGTGCCTCACAGTTACGCTGTTTGTGCACTCAGGGAAATGCATATGAAAACATTTATGCGTGCAGCAGGAGATCAGGCTTGGGCCCAGCTCAGAATATATTTTCTATTCCTTATGCTACTGTTGAACTCTAGTTCTGTTTTAATATTTAGTTCTTGAAACAATACCCAATTGCTCACCAACCACTTTCTTTCACACTAGCAATTCTTCTGTGCTGTGGGCTCATGTTTTGATGCTTTAGAATTTAATTGAAATTGCATTGGAACTTTCTAAGTACCTGGTACATAAGGTTGCAGTTTTACCTACTGCACCTGCTGTGGGTAGGTCTCAGTGAAGAAAACTAGCATGTCAGGCAGCAGCAAACCTGTGAAATGGTTGTTGATATCTGTCCAGCAATGTATCCCCATGCTCTATTCCACACTCGCCTGCCCTGAGACATCTTCAGATGGGATCATTCTCTTATTCCCTAGTTTGTCTCTGTCATAACAGTAAGATTTTACTCTTAGATTGTTGTGTCTTTGTTCTGATTGAGGTAATCTTGTGATATTGTAAATTATATTATATTTTTTGACATCGGCTTGGGAATGATGTTATGCATTCCCAAGCCAATGTTGGTCGCAAGGCTTATTTTTCTTGAGATAGGTGTCCAGTAGAAATGCAGACGATCTAAGTTTTCTTGGCCAGCCTGTAGCTATCAACATCTGTTTGCGCATCAGCAAAGTGAAGGTACACAAACCCTTGTTTGATGCTGACTGAGAAGAATTTTATTAGCTCATGGGAAAGTTGGTGGTTATAACTAGACATGCTGATATCTCAGGGATGTTATCTTAGGCTTCTAGTTGAACTGCCCTGCCTAAAGCACCATGTTGCTTTACTAAATGTTTTATTTTACATATTTTATAATTAAGTTTCAGGGATTTTAAAAACCTGATCTATTCCACGTCTTTTTGTTAAAAGGTACTTTCATCTTGGGAATTAGTGTTGGATTTTAAGACTTGAACAGCAGATGATGATTAATATTCAGTCAAATAGGCTCTACTTCATTTTGAGTGTACACTTTCTTCCACACTAGTCAGTAGGAAAGCATTGATTGTAGTGGGTGCAGAATATCGGTCCTTTGCTTTCAGAGCTAACCCAAGCAATGTTGAAATAGCAGATCTTGCCAAACAGCTGTGCAGCATTCAAACTGATACAGACTGAAGAAGCTATCATTCTTGGTAGGTAGAGTTTGTTTTCCCCACTAGTCTGGTGTGGCATACATGATAAATTTAGATGAACTGCATCCTGGTTCTTTTTCGAAGCTGCTGGCCAAAAGGTTTAAGATTGGTCATATTTGACACCTGTGTTCTAGTCAGCATTGATGTTTCTGAATTGCTCCCTTATAGCTGTCTCACAAATTGCTTATATGAGAAATTCAAGTAGAAAGTATGTGAGTTGGAATCAGAAGAGGTCTTGGTAAGATTTGGAGACTATATCTTTTCCCACTCTAGGGTGGTCGCTTGAATTTTATGCGATCAGTCTTCCAGTTTTGTGAACTCAAAGGGCTTGTGTTGGGGAAACACAAGAATAAACCATGTGGTCTCTTCCTGGTTGCCTATAAGTAGGCAGAATGCGGCTTTTAACATTCCAAAGTGTGATATAACCATATTATGCCATGATTTGAAAATAATGTGTAAGCGGCTAGCCTACAGGAAGAGAGTGGAGAATTGGACTTAACTGTGTTCTGACACTGACTTTTAAACAGTTGAGATAAATGCATATATGTAACTGCAGTCTGTTGTATGAATTATACTCTCACAGTGTGCAATATTCTAAACATAGGATTGTGTATATCAAGATTGAGTTATTATTAAGCATACATTTTCAGTGTTCTGCTGTGCAAGAAAACTAATGTTGAGCTGTTCCTTTTTTAGCAAAAGCAAATTGGTCGCTCACCAGGGGTCAGCAGCACAGAACATCAGCAAGAGATCACTAAATTAAAGGCCGACTTGGAAAAGAAAAGTGTTTTCTATGAAGAGGAACTATCCAAACGAGAACTAATGCATGCTAATGAAATCAAAAACTTGAAGAAAGAACTGCGGGATGCAGAGAGCCAGCAGCTCGCCCTCAAGAAAGAGATTATGATCTTGAAAGACAAATTAGAAAAGACCAGGAGAGAGAGGTAAGTGCAGCCCTAGAGCTTGCCAATGAATCCTAGATACCATAATAGTTCCAAATGTAATTTCAAAACATACCATCAGTCCAGGGGTTCTGACTCCAGATTCATTTTGGTAGACCTGATGTCAGAGTATAACATGTAAACAAGAAAAATAACTGAAATCCATTTACTGGCCTTGTTCAAAGACAGGTACCCCTGAAAATTATATATATTCTTAGGTCAAATTCTGCACTGTGAAAATTTGGCTCCTGGGGTTTAAGCTATAGCTTGAATAATTTTTTAGCATTCTTTTTCCTCTTGGTCATTTCATCATTTGATTGGAAAACTAACATGCGAGAGGTCATCTGCTGCTTGCATTCC